ATTTGCTTTGTCTTTAGGGTCTTTGAGTCTGTACACAAATAAATAAGCAATGTGCACTATTAGCTATTTATTTTATTTTAAGAAGAATATCGACTGGGTTGTGAACACTCAGCTAGGTGTAAGGACCTCTAAACAAATAGCAAAGGAACAGTTTATTCTTGTTTTAGTATTTAAATTTTTTATTCTAACACAGGGTAAAAATTGGAGATAATCTAACACGGACTGGGGAAGAAGATAATCTGCATTACACCTACACATGTAATGTACATATCCTCTAATCTAAATCTACAATAATTGTTTTGGCCATATAGAGATAAGCTACATGTAAAGTACTTGTTCCAAATGAGTTAACAGAAAAGTTGTTAATTGGTTTAGGAACATGTCGGTAAACAAATCAAGTAATCAAAGGGCAAGATTTTATATTAAATACAAACTGTGTCATGTATTTCTCCTCACCACACATTAAGGTTTGTCTGTATTTGTCCTCTGCAAATTATCCAAATAAAGTTCAACCGCCCACTCGCCGGGCTCAGTCGATCCAAATTAGAAACTGTTTGGCTGCTCGAGTTCCTTCAATGCCCAATCAATCTCCCCGAAACTGACAGTTTTAACATGCTCTGACGCACAGCAGTTCTCTTTGTTTGTGTGTGTGTGTGTGTGTGTCTGTGTGTGTGTGTGTCTACACAAATGGAATATACCAAGTGTAGTCATCATACAAGAGTGTGTAAGGGCAATAAGTGTGAGTGTATGTTTGTTTGTAATGATTAGAAAAGGATTAGCTGAAGTAACGTTGGCTGTTTTCAGGCTCAGGGAATGAGATGGTGTCATTTGCTGATGAGAGGTTGCAGTTTTTTTTATTACATTCATTAATATCCATTTAACAAAAACAAACAACTGCACAAGATGATTATGCACAATCAGGAATGACCTGATTGTGAGTGTACTGGTCAGATCAAGGAATTCTTTTAAGTCACTATCCAGACCAACGGTTAATCCACTGACTGAAAAACAAAGACCTCACCACCGCTGCCAGAACATCAAGGACTCAGTGACAGTAATACTGCCTCAAACATTTTTACTAATGCAGAATGACATCAAACGGCAAGAAAAAAAAAAAAAACATTTAAATGACTTTACACAACATCAAAAACATCTAAAGCTTAGAGTGTTGTTCTGGTTTAAAAGTCAGGTTTGTAGTGTGGTCATTGCTTGTCCTATAGGCAGACTCTAGGAGGCCTAAACTCAGACTGAAGTGGCTGCTGACTCAAACAAGCTCAAACAAGGTGTGAAGAAAGATTTATCAGGACTGAGCAAAAGAGAAGAGCAGAGAATCTGAGTAAACTTGCACTGCTCCCTGACAAGGTGTCAGGATATCTGCCAGATTAAAAGTACAAGGGATAGAATTATCTCCTTTCTTGTAATAAAAGCTAGCCCAGTGTATTATACGCTAAAGGAAGTAATAAAGGAAACAGTGATAGTATTTTTGTTAGTATTTGCAGAATTCTAACAGCTCTTATTAGCGCTGCCACTCACACACTTTGGGTCACTGATCTTTTTTGCTTGTGAGAAAAAAAGCTTCTTCCAGTGAAACCCCTCGACACATGCATTGTAACTAAATTACTAAAAGTAGTAAAAGTTTTGCTTATAAGCAACTACAAACAGCTTGCAGAAGCACAACAAAGCATGCTAAGTAAGAACACATCAGGAGACGATACATCATTAGCACAGATTTAAAACTGTAATCCTCAGTGTAGATTAGACAATGCTGAACATGTGCCATCCTGATTAAAAATAAGTAGTGTGCTTACTATTTACTGGGTTTGTGATGACCCACTGTGGAGTATTTACTGAAATCAAACTCACCAATGGTGTTAAAGCAGTGGATGTTCAGGCTTGCAGGGCTCCGGTCTCCTATATGGATCTCCTCCAGGGCGTGGTCTGAGCTGTTGTTCAGTATGACCTGTACTGCAACCATACTGGGCTGGTACAAACATGGCTGCCTGGGGAAATGGTACTTGGCCGACAGACCTTTTCCTGTCATATGGTGAAGCAGCTCATAGGTTTTCAAAGGGCCAAAAGATGAAGTGGTGACCTGGAAGGACACATAAAACAGGGATATACCACTGGTTCTAAATGTGGGGTTTTTGGAGTCATTTTGAGGAATCAAACAATGCTGACAAAAAAAAAAAAATCATAAAAAACTGATCATTATAGAAACTGCAGTTTGGGCAGGAATGAACCAAAGCCTGCTGATGATTAAAAAACAAAAACAAACACCGAACAAAACCGCAAATGCAGCACATTACCCAACAGTGTAAAGCTTCCTGAATCAACACAAAACCAGAGACTGCTTTGTACATTACAGCGCAAATGCATCAACACAAAAAGTCAAATTAATACAAGAATCCTCGGTTTGCCCATCACCTATATTCACGCAATTTATTTCATCCAATCAGCGGCCAAAAGGCTGCATTTTTAGCGATGTGGGACGAAGTGTTGGCTGCCCGCTCTCCTACCCCAAAGCTCTCTTTATTAACTCTGTAGGATAAAGAGGAGCGCATTTAAGAAATGCCCTCCAATCAGCCCAGTTAGATGGAAATGGGCTGGATGCTCAGTCAACCCAGGCTGAATAAAAACAACCTCTAATGAAAAGAAACACAAGTGCCTGCATGGGCCAAAACTGCCATTCGCTGGCCTTTTAAAGGGGCTTTTACCTTTTCAGAGGCAGAAAACAGCATTAACTTAAAAAACATACAGACATGAAATGAGGGGGAAGAGTGTGGTTGAATTTTTTTTTTTTTTAATGTAAAAATTAAACATCTCATTACTAGAATAAAAATTGTTAACAACCGGTGCGGCTGAGATTTTTATCTGATGCTCTCGAAAGAGAAGATAGGTCAGCCAGCAGTGGTACACTACACAGTGCAAAGTGGGGGGGGGGAATCCTCATGTGCACAAGACACACCTCTGCTGTAGGAGAAAAAAAACACTAAGTTTGAAAAAAAAATCTCCAAAGTATGACAGCTTTCAGTAGTTTAACAGTCAATAGAAGTCAAAGGCTCTTCTGTCTGGAATGACAGCACTAATTAGTTAAAAACATGAGACAGATATAGCCTTTTCACACCCTCTGAAACAATTAGCACCTGAATGCACTCACACACCAGCACAGAGCCTAAACAGATGCATCTCATTCTGGTGAAAATAATAATGAGTACAGAGACTTAACAAAACAAAAAAAAAATCTATTTATCACCTGAAAGAGATAAAAAAAAAAAAAAAACTCAAATAAGTCACAAGAGTAACAAAATGAATGGCAAAAGAAAAAAAAACAAAACAAGCAGTGGAAGAAAAACAGATCCTGTACATAAATGATTGAGCGAGGTGTTTCAACTAACCGAGTTAATTGAATATGACTAAGAATATAATGCGAGGAAACTGTGGAAACGGGCGGGCTTGATGCTATAGCTCAGCGTGTTGAGTAGTGTCAGCGTGCATTGTTTTATTAAAGTTGAACGCGCTGCCAGAGCGCTCTCAGTTGGGTGGGAAATGTAAAAGGCATCCTTCGCCTTGTCATGTGCTGCGTGAGGATGAAGAATCGCTTTGACATACGACAAGAGCTGCCGAGACGAGTCTGAATGTGCTCGCTTTCGAGGAAGCGATCAGACGAAATCAGACACTATCGCTGTACTCTTGGAGCAACGTGCTGAAAAGCAAAAAGTCTGACAGTTTGGATAAATTTGATGAAAAAACAAAGACACAAATGTAAATTAGACAGCATCATAGTCTTCTTTGCTTATTTCCTACTGCATACTCTCCATCTCGGGACTATTAGAGTAGCTTTATGAGACTGAAGGCTCAGAATAACTTTCTCAGTACCTCTCCCTTTAACATCCAGAGCTGTGTGCCTGAGATGACCGCATTAAGGATATCTCCTCTTAGTGACATCATACAAACCAAAGATTGAAAGAAAAAACAAAACAAAAAAACGTTTTGCTCACAGGGATTACTTATACACTGACCATCATATGAAACTTGTTCAATGTGGCCACTCATCACTTTAGTGTATATATGACAGAAAATTCTATATGTTTCAACAAATACTATATAAACAAAATTTAACAGCTTTATTCAGCTAACGAGTACGACAGATTGAGCCTAAAATCTGATGTACGCAGTGGCTTGACCCTGGATTAACATTAACCCATGGGACATAAGTTTCTTTTCCCAGGCCTTAAAGGTTAACTAGTAGCTCTCATCTCTTTAAAGTAGGGGTGGGCAAATCCAGGCCTCTAGGGCTGGTTTCCTGCAGGTTTTAGATGTGTCCTTGATCCAACACAGCTAATTCAAATGGCTAAATGACCTCCTCAACGTGTCCTGAAGTTCACCAGCGGCTTGGTAAAAGACTAATCATGTGATTCAGGTGTGTTTACCCAGGGTGAGATCTAAAACCTGCAGGACACCAGCCCTTGAGGCCTGGAGTTGCCCACCCCTGCTTTAAAGGGACATCCACAGATTACTAGCAGCATGTCAACCACACCGAGACCATGACATTCTGCAACTTCAAATAAAGTCCAGGATGCCCAGAAAGAGAACCCAGTGCTTGTGGACTCAGGTTAACTCAGCTCTGCCTCAGATGCACGTAAATCCCTTCCAAGCTGATGTCGCCTTGGTACAAGAGGAGAAACCAAAGAGCAGTCTGAAGCCTGCGCTGTTGGCTGAGTCAGATAAATAGTAATACACTGAATTAATTCTTTTGCTTTTACAATCACCTCATTATAGACCTTTGCTGAGACTGCTGGCTTAGTTATGGTTCCTAGGATATTTAAAAGTAAAATAGGAGGCAGAGCCTTCATATTTCAGTGGACCAAGCTCCCAGTTTGGATTTAGGAAACAGACATCTTCTCTACTTTCAAGATTAGGTCTATGTACAGGCTTTTGTCCTACACTTAAAACCTTCCAGTCCTAACTTTAAGCTTTATCAAAAAGGATCAGGTAACCCTGACCCTTCCATTAGCTACACTGCAATAGGCATAGGCTGCTGGGGGCTTCCCATAATGCACTGTTTGTTCTTCACTTCTTTTCACTCTCTCTTTGTTTATATACCACTCTGCATTGAATCATTAGTTCAAACTAATGATTGCAGAAGCACAACAAAGCAACAAAGCATGCTAAGGAACATTCATCTGCTGCTAGTAGTAGGATTCAATAAATATTATATCAAGTATTATCTGTGGCTTATTTTCAATTATTTAAGTCTTCAATAGTAACAAAAGACTTTTGGCCATTTATGTGTTTTATTGCCACCAGTATCAACAAATTCATAACCACGAACACATACAAAATAAACTCTTCTAACAACAACACCATCATCTCCCCTTGGCCTCGTGACATGCTCGCAGCGTCTCTTGTGCCCAGACCGCCGTCTCTAAAGGAGGTCAAACAAACATTTGTTGCTGCGCTGTAACGCTGCTCTGCCCCCACAAGCGCCCGTCACGCCACCGCCGGCCCGCAAATTTATTGGGCCACTTTTGGATGTGTCAGAGCAGTCGGTGTCGATAAAGCTCGTCGTAATGTTTGCCACCCCATCACAGCAGAGATTTACCTCCCTGACAGACACATCCTGTTTCAAGGTCTTATCTGTCGCCTCGCCCCAAGCAGGCGGCAGGAGGGACGGACAGCGATAGGACAGGGTTTCAAACTGCTTATTATCACCAATTTGACACAGCGGACAGTTAAAGCCTGACACAAGTGCCCACGCAAGCCGCTTCACCCTTCCATCCATTGTTGTCCTGTTATGCGGTGCAAGCCCATAACACCTCAAGTGTAAATAAGAAGGGAAGAGGAATGTAACCTTGACTTCTCTGTCAGTCTGCCTTTTTTCCCTCCCCGCCTCTCTGAGCTTGGTTCTCAGTCTCCACCTTGGACAGGAAGGAGGGAGGTGACAATGAGCGAGGAAGTTGATTGAGAGGCTCTATTATGCATCAACTTAAAGGAAGCTCCCGTGATGGATGACACAGACACCAGTCACCTTCAGAACCCGGACGACACGTTCCCAGCATCCTCTCTGGCAAATGACCTGAAAATCCCGCTGACATATTCAAAAGGGCTAACCAGAGCCGGGCAGCCTTGTGCTGTGTGTATTAGAAGGCCAATTTCAGAGAAAGCAGGGTGAGGCGTACAGAGATGTATGGGCATATATTGAAAATCCATTTCTGTTTTTCAGACACCGGATTCCATTATGCTCTACAAGAGTTGTGAGGATTAAGGTGAGGGACATGTGTTTGACTTTAGGGCCTAATTGTTCCCTTCAGTCAGGAGATGACAATTAATTGAGGGCCGTCACAAGGACCTTGACTGCAAATTGAATTAAACAAATGTTACTACAGCCTCCTAAAACTACTTTAATGTAACAAGAAGTCTCTCTGGCGCATATAGACAGAGGTTAGTTCATTTATGCCAATTTGTCTGTAAATTAGGTATTCTAAAATGATTAATTTTGAAATTTTCCATTAAAGACTATTAGCAATAATAGAGGACTGTTATTCAGAAACAGAGGTGTCCTTCATCAAGTTTTGCAAGTGCTGTTAACAGCCTGTCAACACTTTCTTTGAATTAGCATCATAGTCAAAAGATCTTCAACTACAACTGATTATTTTCTGCATTAACACGTAATAACTTGGACAATAATCGAATCAAAACACTAGAAATGAAGACTACGAAAGCAAGTGTTCAGATTTAATAGCTGCAGCCGTCAAATTTGAACCATTAGACTATTAAAATTGTGTGCCGAAACCTTTTTTGATGACTGATTCTAATCAGATAATCATTTCAGCTCTACTCAGAGCCAAATACAAAAATATGAATTTTAACTAGACACAACTTTCACAGACACTTAGATCAGGATTAAAGAATACTAACAGATGTACGCACGTGTTTATAAATCACAGATCATTCACTATTCACTATCAATGTGCAGCACTAAAAATACTAGTGGATGATAAGAGTATACATTTACTCTGGCATAAGAATAAGGAAGCAACTCGCATATACTTGGATATTTTCCCAACACTACACATTGTTATTCACAGGAAGAATTCGTGATTTGGTCACAAAGCTTTCATAATAAGAGCTTCTATTAAATGTTCAACACTTACTTTTAAGCACACAACGTGGTTGTATGTTGGTGCTTCACAAAGCTTTTGTATACTTACTGTCACCAGAAGGTCGTGTCAGAAAACGTCCAACCACCACAGATAGGTTAATAGATGGACCTAGCCGCTGTGACATCAGCTGGTTTCTGAGCATTTTTGCCATTTTGATGTTTTAAAACTGGATGTGACGACAAAAGCACAGGTCTGAGTGAAACTACACGTTCACTGGCTAACAAATGTCAATCACTAAGTGTTAGCCAATAAGCACGTGGATTCACTGTAAAACCCGCCCCTGCAAATTATTTCTGTTTTTTGCAACTAACATGGCTTCTCTCGTAGCTTAAGAAACCAAAGGGTCAAAGTTAACCACGTCCATCAGTTATGGTCTTAAGTTGGAACCACAGGTTGGTAAACATTAACAAGAATGCAAGCTTTTATACAGCTTATGGCAAGAATGGGCAATGTGGACTATACTTCTTTATCTAGTTGCTGCTCCTCTAACATAGCCACTGCTGCAGAGAAGACAGAGTGTACTAATGACACGGTTACTTTATTCACTTCTTCAAACAAACTTGTCAGCCATTCAAGCACTCAACTCACAAAGCACTGTTGACCCAAATATTGTCTGTGTTTTTTCTTTATTGGACACTACTGGGGGAACACAATTCTTGCATCCTTAGGTTTGTTATGTTAAAAGCAAAAAGCCATTAAAACTTGACATCATATCAAGTTACAGCACATCTGCCTTGCCTACTCTCATTTGCTTTATGTCTGTGTTTGTCACACTGTCCCACATGGTATTGTGGGTCACCCACAAATAGTAACCCACTACTACTTGTGCATGGCACCGTGATGTAGGGATTAACTGTGTTGCCTCACAGTAAGAAAGTTCCTGGTTCAAACCCCAGGTGGGGCTTTTCTTTGCCACTGTGGGTACTCCAGCTTTCTCCCAAAGTCCCACTGCCGTGCATACTAGGTTAATTGGTAATTCAGCTGTCTGTCTCACATCCATGGCTAAACAGCTTTAAGTATATGAAAAATGTGACTTGTAGTCTGAAGCAATTGCAAGTCCATTACAATTGATTTAGATGTTATGCTTTACTGTCATTTTAATTAATATTTTAACATCTGGTCAAGGGAAAGCAGTTGACAGTTAGCTATGTAGGTGTCAGTGGCACATTAATTTGAGAAACACAATAGGAAAAACGCACTGTAGTACAATTCAGAAAATACACTTATAATCACATATTTTATTAAAGTCCAATCATTTATGGAGGTCAAATCTTCACAAGCATTTTAATGCTATTGTAACCTTAACTTGAGGATCAGAAAACATGATGTATTGTGAGAAATAGACTCAAAGTAAAAGGCAGAAAAATAGCCTAGCAATTATGTTAATAACTGTAAAAATAAAGATTTAAGAGCTTACAGCAGTGGCCCGCATTAATTAAATGGCAAAGTGTTTTTGCTTTAGTTTAGGTGTCAACTGTTAATGAAAACACACATATGATCATTAGAGGTTTGAGAGAACACGGTCATAACCTTAATCACACCAGACCAATGCCGTCAAAAAAAACTTTATGAAAAAGATAAAATGCTTATATATAAAAATAGACATAGAAAAATAAATTGCGCCTGAGACAAACTTATTAATAATCAAGAAGTGGCTAAGGCAGTCGCCATTAAAATACAAACATTTCCCAAACTACCTGCTGGCTACACTGACAGGCTGCTTCCGTGTGGGCATTTATTCCTACTTAAGCCGCAATCTCCGCAGTTTGAGTGGCAGCAGGAGGTTTGGAGGGCAGGAGCTTCTATATTCGTGGCGCTCGAGGTCCTTTTGCTGATTCATAATTAGATGTGAACCCAGAGCGCCCACTACGGGGGAGGTCAGAAGGGTGAGGAGGGAGGCGAGGGAGGAGGAGGGGGCGAGCCGGCGTCCGCCTGATGGACACCAAATGAACAAATTATGATGGCCCCCTCTGGGTGTGATGGGGTCAAACGCCCTGCGCCCCACCGCTGACAGTTCAATTTCCCCCCAGCGCAGCCCCATTCGCTGACTGCTAATTATGAATGAAAAGTTATCAGCCTCAGCCACCCCGCCGCACACACGGACAGCGGTCGGAAGAGGTTTGGGGGTGAGGTGCGATGGTGGGGAGGATTTAAGAGGCATTTGTGAGAGATCCTAATGTCAAAATGTTATTAGAGAGAGCGGTAGCATGAAGAAGCTGAGGAGAGGAGGAGGAGACCGAGGAGGAGGTGGGTCAAAGACAGTGGCCAGGGTTAATCTAAATGCCTTTGATAACCATGCAGTAATTCTCTAAAAAGGCCCGAGCGCTCAGCTGAGACAGACTCGCTGCCTCTGTGGGCAGATTGCTGAGAAATAGAAATGACACTGGGGCCAACGTGTGTGTGTGTGGGTGTGGGAAAGAGCTGTTGTTGAAGAGCATGCATGGGGAGGGGCGTGCGTGAATAAAGGTGAGGTTATTTACCCTCGTCTATGAATCCCGTTGCCCATCATGTATTTATGCATAGAATTGACTCTAAATCAGATGTTGATGTGCAAAAAGTTCCCTGTTCTAATCTGCATTTCTATTCTCTATTACTCCCTGGCCTTCACCTGAGGAGAGATTGGCTAACAAGACTTGTGCTGCATAAATGCTGGCCTGAGAGCAGCTGTCAATCATACTGACTGACAGGCGAGCAGGACTGACGGGCAAACTTAGAATACAGACCAACGCACCACAGGGCTACGCACAGCAGCAGAGGCCATTCACATAAGCTGGGAGTGCGCACACAGACACACACAGTTAAATCTGGCTGTACAAAAAGTTAGAGACAGCCTAAAGTCACTTTTAAAGAGACCAAAGGAAGCTAATTTACACGCCTGTGATGACAACAAAAAGTCAGCGGAGTTTACAGAGCAAAAAGCAAAAAAAATAAAATGCAACATAAAAACATAGTAACCCACGTTCAGCCTTTCTTTATTATAGCAATCCACTTGCCAGTAGTTCAGGAAGAGTCGGGGTTCACGTTTATAGTCAACAAATTACATTTATACAGTTATTTTATGCCTCGATTACGGTCACTGTATTCATTGTGTTGCGTGCGAACTGTGGTGCTGTGGTGCCAGAGGGCCCACTGCAGTCTTCTCATGAACAATAGGTTTCACCACTCACATAAAAACCTCTGTATCAGCACTGTATGCAAGAAGAAGTCAAAACAGGAAGCACAGCAACTGTTTTTTGTTTTTGTTTTTTTGTTTTTCAAAGTCTTCACCAGACTGTCTCCTCTTTTTTCACTGTTGTTCTGCTCCTGTGTAACGTGAGAATCTCTGAGCTCCTGTCATTGAAATCGCAGTAAAGTGCGACAAAAATCATGCTCACGTCTTTGAGCTGGGACAAAAACTGTGAATGACAAGTTGAAATGACACTAAAGCACACTGAGCAGTTTTGACGTCACTTTTGGTGAGGGTGACAAAAGTGAGCAAAAAGCAATTGTTAGTTAGTAGAAGAGCTTCTAGTAATGGATTATAGTGGCAAAGAAGTAATGGGGGAAAACACCTAGACTAGAAATTTCAGGTAATTCAGCTTCAGCTTTTTTTGAAGTAGTAAATTACCCTTTGCATGTACAAAGAAGTTATACAGGGGGAAAAAAAGACTACCATGAACATGACTATAAAATAAACAGTTTTCGACTTGATTGCATTCCTATCTCTTCCCTCCTGATGCGTTTTCACCCTCACACTTATACCTTCAATTCAGTCCATTCCACAGATACAGATCCTGCTGTCAGCACACATCTCCTCTGTTAATGTTTCTGAGATTTTATTTCTGCTTGAGAAAAACCCCCAAAAACAAGTGGAACTAGACACTGAAGTAATAAAATATAACAACAACTAAGCAGTTTAAGGAATTCATTACTGAAGAAAAAAAAAAACATTAATAGATTATCTGTTATTTATTTCACCAACTAATATCTTTGGGAAATGCAAGCTATGCCATGCTTACAAGGTTGAAATCAATAAATAACTTTGTATTAGAACAATAATCATTACTCACAGCCCACAAACAACAAAACTACTCAATTAGATTCTAACCTTCTGATGTGACATTGTCAAAGAACAGAGTTTCCATACAGCTGTGACACAAAATAAGACACAGCAACAGCACAAAGAATAGTCTGGACATTTCCCTCCCAGGAGGGAGACAAGATACAAAATACACAGACATGCAGAGTCGCTCATATACTGAGGAGAGAAAGGAGCCGTCACACTGGGAAAGGTCAACCATCAAATATACACAACATGAGGACACAAGGGACACAACATCTGACAGAGAGAGATGGAAGGTGACACAGGAGGAGGAGAGAAATAAGGTAGAGAGAGAGAGAGAGCGAGAGAGAGCGAGAGAGAGAGAGACCGAGGGGATGGACTCAGAGACGAGAGAGAAATAGAGATCAAGGGTGTGGAAGTGCAAAAGACAGTGACGGTGAGAAAGACAGACTATAAGAGATACAGGAAACAGCGAGAGCTGTTGGACCATCCTGACTGGCTATAAATATAACAAGGCAGAAAAGGTCAATAGTTGGCGTCTGGAGCAGAAATGTTCCACAAGGGAGTGAGGCTCATTTCACCATCTCATATGCTGCTCTGCTGTACTGTCAGTGTCAGACAGAAAGGAACGACTGACTCTCAACGCACATTGATGGAGGAAATGTCAGCCTGTGTGCATCTAATACACGCATGCGCACACACACACACACACACACACTAACCTGCACAGTGGAGGTGATGTTGGAGAGAGAAAGGCCTTCGAGGTCGGACAGCAGACTTTGAGAGAGCACAGAAGGCTTTGGTGCGTTGGTGGGTGCAGGAGAAACTAAAGAGCGCAAAGAAAACAACAACAACATAAAGATTATTAAAGCTACTACAGCGATGTCGCACACAGAGTTACTTTTAAAAATATAATTACAATATTAATAATAATAATACTTTATGACAAAAGAAAGCAACTGAAGGCTGTTTAACTTTTACTCCGGTGTTATTATTAAGTCACGTCACAACATGTCAGAACAAACTGACGTACAAAAATATTTCAGCATTGAATGTGAGCAGTCATACTGATATAAATGTCAACAGGGTCATGGGATCTTGTGTCAAAAAGTAATTTAGGAAAACCTGATTCAAACCCCAAAACATGAAGATTATCTGGATGCAGAGTTAGACACACAATCTGCAGGTTACAAGCCGGTTTTAAACTAAAGGCATTTTGCATTTGAAAGGCCATTGTTGGAGTTCGACGGGATTTAACATAAACTACTCCTCACACTGTGATTCTCCTGTTCCACACAGGCTGAACGGCACTTTTTAATATCACATAAAAACTGTGGTGTTTTACTTTGCATTGATTTTGGAAGCTGGAACTGTAAACACTCTGAATTTTTTTTTGCCACTGAAGAAATGAACAAGAAGTTTAGAGCTCTTTTCCATCATCATCCTACAAATCCCTGTAAGCATTCGTCTTTTATGCCTCCCTTGAGTTCCACAGATACTGAGTTATGTCCAAGACAGAAGTTAATGACATTTTTGCTTTCTATATTTGATAGTTTGCATCAGTCACAGATAAATGTGCAGCAAATGTGTGCACGGACATGTGAGATGAGTGTCAGCAAAGGTTTTCTACAGGATGATTACCTACAAATTGTAAGCCAATACATGAACTGACATCTATATGGTTAAATACAGTCCCACACCATAGAGAGTATAAAAGATGGACCACATCTTGAAACCTCAATGCTTTGTTAGCTTTTGGAGCCAGAGATGATCTCATTTGGAGGAGAAGCGATTTATCAAATAACTCCAGGAAAATTGGTTAGCAAGCTGTCTCCATAAACTGTGCAGATGCATCAGACATATACACATATCAGCTAATTAGTGCAAAGTAATAGACCAATAAAACACTCGAATTTCATTCAACAGACCTGAAGCTAAAACTTCTTGGGCGGTCTTTACCTCACAGCAAGATACAATATTAGCAAGACAATCCATTAAGATGCTTCAAAGGCGCAAAATAGAGGGCTGCAGGTCAGTGACTCAGTAGGTGAGATGATAGCGACCAGCTGCAGCTGCCTGTGTCAGGACATCTGGACATAATCCTCCAGATGGACAAGTTATACATAAATTCACCTCACTCAGAGCTGTTATGAGGTGGGAAACTATCTATACAGTTAAAAAGGCTTTTCCATGCTGCAAAGTTGGGAGTGTGTGAACTAAACTGCAGTTTTTGGCACTCTGACTTCATTTTTTCAGCGGAGGTTTCCGCCTCTTGGTCCACACGTTCTAAATATTTAAACTCTACTACAAATTCTAACGTGATGTCGGCAATGCCTACACTACAGTTCTCCAATGAACTGGACTTTATTTTTAGCCAAGCGATTAATGCAAGTCCAATATTTTCTCTACCTCTAACTGATACAATTCAGTTCTCCTCACCAGGACTTGATCATCTATGTCTGCTTGCTACTTTGGGCGGTGGGGAAATAGAATACACATCAGAGCTTTTTTTGTGAAGCCTGCTGCTCTTGTTAATGTGAGTTTATGCAAGCGGAAACTGTAGGAAAACTCACAGTCATCTAGATCCAGTAAAGAGACTTCCTTCTTGGAGTTCACTGCCACCTAAAAAGAAAGCACAACAACATGATGGTTTCAATTTCAATTTCACCAACAGTGTCTCTGAACACATTCATCCCACGTTCACGGGTAACTTGTCTGGAATTTTCAGTGACCGGTCACATGTCATTTTGAGTCACAACTGCTACTCACCACCCTCTGCAACTGAGTCAGGCTTGTACGGTGCTGACAATAAAACAGTGCTTAAACGTAAGAGGGCTTTTATCGCTCCTTCTCCATACCCTACTAACCAACCTGGCACCACTCACATTGCATAAAGAGCCATAAAATTCCACACTGCATAGCCCAAGCTGAGCAGATAGGGAGGGGGGGAAAAAAACCAATGTGATGTGAGTGAAAACAAACCATAAAGTTAGAGGCCGTATCTTATCAGATTTTCTCTGATTGACGCTCGGTGGTGGTAATAGAGACGGAAACCTTGTTACTAAAGGGTGTTGTGATAGAGCAAGACAGACAGAGAGAGAGAGGTGTAGAAAGAAAGGTAGAGATGCATAATTCATAAGCCATGCCCAAATGACAAAGTGTATGAAATGAGAATTTCATAGCGCAGAAAAGCAAACGGAGGGCGAGAAATAATGTGATGAGCAAAACAGATAAGAAAAAGATTGTAAGGGCTGAAAGGGGCCAAATGAAAGGCTGGAAGGGAAAAAACAAAAGGTGGTATAGTGGAGCCAAATCATATCCCAAGGTATAAATCCTGATTTAGAAGCTCTTGTGCACCTACAGAACAAAAACTCGCTGCGAGAACTGCACATTAATATTTAGAAGGCTAAGCAGAGCAGGGCCATTATCCTAATATCATACTCTATACTGATTTAGACATTATGCATTGTAAATATAGTACAATATCATACATTATAATGTGACAAAGGTGTGTTTTCCTGTATTGTTTTATACCATTATCTTCTCTTTAGCACTGCATAATGCCTCTTTCTCCCCTTAAATTTCATTTATAATGTGTATTTTTAATAGTCTAAGAAGTTCTACAAAGACACTGATTCAAGGCCATTATTGCAAACGTGTGCAACTACAGCGATCAATAAGTTGAAGTTCAATTCAAATGCATTCAATTTAGAGATATTGCAATGACACAGAGAGATCCCCAGTAATCCTATAATCATGTAATAAAAAGCCAAGAGAAAACAGTGGTGCATGCCAGTGGTGCATGCCAGTGGTGCGTGCCAGTGGATGCGACATGATTTTTGGCATGCGCTACTGTCCAACAGAAGATAAGTGGTGTGGGCAGAATCAGCCTCAACCTTGTACAACAAAGCAGTAGTTGAGGGTCATCTGATCCAGCCTGAAACGACAGATCAACGAACTGCAAACAACTTCTTCTTTGGAAAAAGCAAATGCATTTTATTTTTGGTGGAACTGCACTGATGCTGTTGGCAGCCTCTGTTCTCAAAGTTAGAAACTCTCACTCGCAGTTAAATCCAAATACGCCCACTTCATCCATGCATTATATCGTCACCTTGGGTTTGGCCTTTTCTTCAGTCTTCTTCTTGGGTGCGGGCGAGTCTGACCCAGAGTCCGACTCAGAGTCCGACTCAGAGTCTGAGGAGCTTTCAGAGGATGAGCTGCTAGCTTGGCCTACAGGTCCATTGCCATTTTCATCAGAGTCACTGAAGAAGAAAACAAAATGAGCTTAGTAGTCAGAGAATACACAGTAAAAAAAAAAAAGCAACACTCTTCATTATTTCTTAAAAGTAAAATATTAATTTATTCCATAATATGAAACAGTCTGGAAACCAACAAATAAAACAAACTTGGTGCTATTGTTTTCCTATTTTCCATCCAACTTGAAAGCTTCAGCCCCGATTAGAACAACAAAGATCAATCTGTTTTTGTTTGTGAAGTTAATTCAATGTTGCATTTACTCAAAAAGATTTTTTCCATCTTTCTCCTCTCTCTTTCAGTCTTGCTGTCCCTCTTCAATTTGTCCCGATAATGAGTGTTTACTCCGCCTGCCTGGGATTTTCAGCCGTTAAATTAATGAGGGGAATTGTGACGGTAACTGGCTTTTTAACTTGGGCGATGATGAAAAGCCAGTATTAATTTGGCCTACAGATTTCATTTGCTGCGAACAGGAAAAAGTGATATAAATCACTGTGGGCCTGATTAGGCCCTGCCTGAAATGACTGGGCCATAATGAGGGCATTATGCTGTGTTTGTTGTGGAAGCACTGGGGTGAGCTGCTCTAATTACCGTGTGTATGTGTGTGTGCGCGTGTTTGTGTGTGTTTGAGCACTGGGGTGAGTTGCTCTAATTATACTCTCTAATGGAGAGAACAGGGTCAGCCGCCGGCCTGTCACACAGTGAAATCAGGTACATTCGGTGTGAGTTTGTGTGTCCATGAGCAAATGAAGTAGAGTGCATAAGAAACTAAATTTGCTAGTGTGTAAGAGAGTGTACGTGAGCATACTCAGTAGTAATGACTCAAATCTCATTCACTGGTAACACCGGGCTGTTAAATGACCAATCAAAAGTCATTATCCATTAGCCATGTAAATGTGGGTTACGCTACTGGAGGAAAATTCTCATTGATTAGCTTGTTAATGGAACTCGCGCTAACAATATTCCAGCAGTGCTGCCATCATGTGTGTGTGTGAGAGAGAGAGAGCATACAGAGTGTAACAGGTGTGTATGATGTTTTTTTCCCTCCATGTGAATCTCCCAGAAGACTTTAACTAGAAACATAAACGATCAGGTAAAGGATTCTGACCACTGACAGGTGACGTGAGTAACACTGATCATCTCTTCATCTAGCACCTGCTAATGGGTGGGACACATTAGGGAGTAGGTGGACATTTTGTTATCAAAGTTGATGTATTAGAAGCAGAAAATAATTGGCAAGCATAAAGATTTCAGAGTTTGACAAGAGCCAAATTGTGATGGCTGGACGACTGGATCAGAGCTTCTCCAAAGCTCTCGTCAGGTGTTCCTAGTCTGCAGTGGTCAGTATCTATGAAAACTGATCCAAGGAAATGTGCTAAAAAAAACCCACAAAATACAGTCATGGGTGGCCAAGGTCGCTGGCCCGTGTTGTCCGATCCAACAGACGAGGAGCTACTGCAGCTCAAACTGCAGAAAAAGTTCATGCTGGTTTTGACAGAAAGATGTCAAAATACACCGTGCAGTACAGTTGGTTGTGTATGGGGCTGCGTAGCTACAGACCATTATAATGTTTGGTTTTTTCCTTCTAAGAGATCCACTGGATTTAGTTTCCATGCCCCCCGCATATCTTAGAAGTAGATGAGACAAAGACCCCATCCATAAATCCATAAACATGCCAGTTTGAATACAGCTATACCTTTTTTTAAGTTGAGATTTTACAACATTTTCTGATTGTCACATTTTGTTTTCAATGTCCTTTTTTAAATGTGATTGAGCAAATTTTGCATCCTCTATCCACGCTATAGGTGCAAATGTAAATCCTGACATATCAAGTCTGAGGGGTTTAGTGGAGGAAAGCTACAACTGAGCATTACGAACTGTAACTGTGAGTGGGCTGTGATGAATAATATAAACTGCTGAATCTTTCAACAGATGGAGTTTGCTCGGATGCAGCAGAATCGTGGGCACATTTGTTGCTGACTACGTGTTTCTGGCAAACACACACCTGCTTAATTAGCAAAGCCAGAAAGAGAAGAAGAGAAAGACGCAGGTAACATCTGGACACGCCGCCTTTGCAGGGAAGAAAAATTATGCTTTCAGACTGTGACAGACAGCAGGGATTTCAGTGTACCTGTCACCAGCAGGCTTGCTTTTCTTCTGCGGTGCTTTCTTGGTCTTTTTCTTCTTTTTTTGATCTGATTCAGACTCACTGGAGCTCTTTTCAGATCCACTGGAGCTTTTTCCAGAATCACTGGAGGTCTTCTCTGAATCCTCACTGCTTTCCTCCTCGCTCTCACTGCCCGATTCTGTACATATTAAACCCAAAACAAATCAGACTTTATTCTTTGCTGAAATTTTCTTTTCATATTACTTATGGTCTTAATTTCTTCTTTGTTTTGCAACTGCACGGGATCAATGAGGGATGGATCTAAAACTTCACTGGCTAACAGCTTGTCAATCATCATGACTCTGAAATGACTGTTGCTCAACACTAATATATTCCAAACCAAAAGCACAACAACATCAAATGTTGTTCAGCTCAAATTTGTAAATTCTCAAAATGATCAGTTAACCAGACCTGGATAAACATCAGAAAAATAGACGGAAGGATAAAATTAGAGACACATTTCTAAAATCAAACAGTTTTGAAAACACATTAACAAATCTGTATAGTTTAATGTTATTATGCTTAGTAAAATGTTGTGTGTTCTGTTTTGCTTGTGTCTACAACACTGCTGATCCTGCATCTCAGGTTTGATTTGATAAATGGTAAAAATGTAAAAATGGATGGATGGATCCAGAACCAAACACACAGAAAGTTTTAATGCAGTGAAAATTTTGCTGTGCTTTACACCTCCAGCTTCTAAACAAGATACCAAACTTTGATATGCTTTGCCCCGTGCAGGATAGTCAGATCATGGCCTCAAATAATGAATGTGTCACTAAATCAACCAGTCATGCTAATGTTGGTTATGCTAATAACCAACAACATTAACTTAGCCTCATAAAAGGAGAAAGTCTCAGAAACTTTAAATCGGACAGACAGAAACAAACCTTCACTGCTGCTGCTGTCTTCACTTCCACTGCCGCTGCTGTCGGATTCTTCCTCCTCTTTCTCGTCTTCATCATCTGAGTAGAACTTGTCATCAGATTTAGGCTGTTTGGTCTTCCCAACTATTGGTGCCGACTCGCTCAGCTAAATGGACACAGCAGAGGGAAGATGGACCAGTTAAACTACAGAATCCAAGCCTTGCAATTTAAGGATGAGTTAGAATCTATAAAAATCTGATTCCTAACACGTAACAGAGGCATGTTCACATTTTGCACATTGTGTAGCTGCTGGTCACTCCACACAGGCTTCCTAAATGTACTCAATTAAGCAAAACCAGCAGTGGCTTTTTCAATTAAAGGAGTTTTTAGCAGTATGTCGTCACCACCATATCCCCAAATATGTTTCTGCTGAAGTTTGTTGACACCACCGATTTATCGCTGCTTATTGTTTTATCAGGAGACACACAAAGTAACAGTGATAAACCTGAGAGAAAATGCTAAAGCAATAATGTCCCTCACAAAATAAAAAACTAAACTAAACACAAGGATCTTTAATTCTATAAAGGTTGTAAATGATCATGCTTAAAATATAAATAAATCTTTTCTACGTTTTCTTTTCTACATTTTCTGTGTTGCTCAGTCATTCGTTGACTGATGAAATGTGAGAAAAATGAGAAAAATGCACCACTTCATAAAGCCTCACAGAATAAACTAAGGTGCTGCACAAAGGCCAAGTATGCAGCAAATGAGAATTACTTTGAAGTGTAATTTGAAAACAAGAATAAAGATTTGCAGCTGGAAATTAGCAAAACTTGTCACCTTTAAAAACAGTCAGTTTGGAGCTCCACTCCAATCAGCCAAGTAATAGTTGGAGGTAAAACCAATGATCTTTTCATTTTTTCCTGACAAATGCTTCATAATGTTAACAGAGAGCCTATAACTTCTAGAATCAGGACTGAGATGTGGTGCATTCACTTTCCTCCCCTAAGGGCATGAGTTTCCTCACATTTGAGCTAGTTTTGAATGTCTGATTTGGCTCACGTTTTTCTTTACACATCTTGAATACTGCAAATATGATGAGGAGTGTGTAAAAGGCAAAAAAGCAACACGAAACTCCAAGTTTTTCACATCTAAACTTGTCATGTAACATATACACTCAGTGTGTTGTGTTTTTGCAGAAAATTTGTATTCAAAAAACCCGCTGTGAAAAACACAACAAAAAATGACAGCATTAAATATAAGTGAGTCCAAAAAAACATTTTTAATGCGTAAAATAGTCTCCTGAATTTTACACATCTGGTGTGTAAAGACGTTTAGGAAGGTGGATTTCTTACTGGTTCAACAATCTCCACGTTTCTCACAGACTGGTCGGGAGCAACAGCAGGCCAGTCTGGGAGCTCCTGGTACCCAGTGGCTTTAAGGTTAAGACTGTGGGAGAGAGTGCCGAGCTGGTAACGGTCTCGATCTGAAAGTATCAAGAAGGAAAATTATGGGAAAAAAATAAAAAAGTTTTTTAAAAAAAAGTTTAATAAGTGGTGGAGAAATGGGACGGGGCAGCAATGACCTCACTGTGTTCTAAATGAAGGAAACAGCTTATAGTGGCATCTTCTCCACCAAGCACCGTCACCTCTCTGTCTATGATAACACGTGATCACACTCCCTGCTCTGCCTTTCCAAAGGGCGGCACAAGAAGACAATCAGTGCGTGTGCTATGGGAGGTGTGATTTGCCCACCACAAAAAAGGACTACTTCTGAATATTAAGAATGACAGAGGCCATTAACACATTCATAAACATCCAGTAAGTGCAAACTGAGCTGGAATTTTAATGTTGTGGAAGGCAGCTTTTCTCTGGTGTCAAGCGGGGGGAGAGAAAGAAAAGACAGCTAAATGAGAAAGCCGGAAAAAAGGTTAGCATGAGCTCAATAATTTACCCATCTCATTAGTGTGAGGTAAAGGTTTCTGACCTAACTGCCCTTCAGAGAGACACACACACAGCAGAATAATAAAACCTCAGCCTGAATCAACTTTGCATACTGCAGGAAATAGAGCCACTAGGTTTGAAATAGATGAGCAGCTAATATGTATTCAGTGATGCGGGAGAGGAATGAAATTTAATCTGAAAATGGAAAAGGTATTTAAAAGTACCTTTGAAGGCAGACTCGAGCACTGGAGCCGGTTTGGGGGCCAGTAAGATGCGTCGAGCGTACTTGCTGAGCGCACCGCTCTTCTCGTTGGGCACTATCAGCTGCCGTATGAATCGTGTTCGGTCTCTGATGTCGTAGTTCTGGTCGTATTTGCCGAGGTTCAGGATGTACTGGGTCAGCAGCTTGGTCTGGGGACAAAAGTGTGGGTGTTTCAATGCTTTATGTACTTATGACCAGCAGGTCCCCCCGAGATTAGAAACTTGAAGGGAGACCAACCCAAGACAGACCATTAGGTTGTGAATATTTGAAAAAGTCAAGCACAACAAAAAATGTCAAGGAAACAATTCAAGTATTTAAGAGGAAGATGAAACCAGTTAAAAATAAATTAAAAAAAAGCATAAAGCAGACACGTTTCCATAACATCCAACTAACACTTTAGAAATCAATGAACCCTTTCAGTGATGATGCAAACCTGGTGTACAACCAGCTGAACTGAGCCAGGAGCAAATGTGAGTGTCGCTCATCAACAGGCATCTCCTTCTCCACAAGGCCAGGATCCTTACTTCAAACCCCCGTCTCACCCAAGCACAGGGAGACAGAGCACTTGCACCAACATAAATGATTTAGGTAGACATAAAAACAAAATCTGCTCCTGTCACGACAGGAGCATTATCGCCCCAATCTTTTACTGAATTGTCATTACAAGGAGCAAGAGGTGTGATAATGTGCTTTGAGAAGGCAGCGTCTGGGCTCATAAAATCACCTCACACACCAATTTTACCTCATCTGACTCAATGGGTCTGCAGACACCAAGTGGCTCTAGAAGATGCATTACATTAAAACTGCTTCACAGCTCTGTATTTGAAATGGGTATTTAGCAATGAGTTGCAACTATTCGCACATAAAGCTCTGTAAACGCACATACACACACACACACACACACACACACACACAGAGCCTTGATTTTTCTCTGCATGTCTTATTTTGCACCTGCTTAGAGTTGGTCAGGTAGAGCTTTGCAGCTAGATTGACAGTCTGCAGCTTGACGATGTCCTCCTCTGCTGTGAACGTCTTTGCCATCTTGCGCAGTACATCGGGCGCAATCTTTGGCACCTTCTCGCAGTACTCTCCCATCAGCCACAGGATGCTGGCTCGGGCCATGGGAACCTGCAGTTGAGGGTGACATATCAGAGACAAAGAGCAGCACCTGTCACAGTGTTATTTCAGACACAATGCTCCAGTGATAACTTTCACAAGCAGCACAATCATGAACCGTACAGTGACGCTATCGAAGAGCTTGGCCATGTGTTTGATGATGTCACCGTGCTGAGTGGGTTGAGTCTGAAGCAGCTTCTTGATGACCACGATGCTCTCGGCCACCACGGTCTCTGGAGAACCGAAACAAGTCTTCACAAAACTGGACAGAGCCGACATCTCTAATGACGAGCTCAAAGTGCAAATATGGACTCAGGTAACTATTCAGTGGGGGCTTTTTACCGTCTCTATTAGAAAGCAGCAACACCAGACCGTTGAGGCATGTGTCCGTCACCTCAGAGATGTTGGTAGCGCACCTGCCGATGGCCTGGATGGTAGCTGCTGCGAACGCCTTGTCCTGACTCTTCACGTAGGTCTTGGGGAAAAAAAAGAAAGATCAGATGTACTTAGTGTAATACCCCAATTGGAAAGTAGGTAACACATCTTATCACACAAAGAAAACAACAAACCTGGAATTCTCTCAGAATTGTGGAGATGTTAGCTTCATTAGCTAGATTGGTCAGGATCTCCAACTGGAAAAATCATAAACAGAAAGGTGACTGCTGTTAGGTTCACGAAAAGGTCAAAGGGGCTCAAAAGCCAATATGGCAGTATTTAAATGTACATAATATTATACTATTACACATAATACTAAGCTCAGTATTCTTATTTGAGCTTATATGTACATAATGCAGAAAATAAAACAGGGGCTACCTTTAGTGTTTTGATATGCGTGGCATCTGTCGATCTCACATAGAAACTCTTAATGAAGGGCTCAAACATCCCCTGTTTGAAGAGAACTCGTGTTACTACACAGGCTGCATCAACCCAACACACTCTCATCCCTCTGCTATCCATGAGCACTCACCTTTCTCTGTATAGACATCGTGGCGATGTTCTGAAGCACAATGTACTGCACTTCTCTGCACACAACAGCAAGAAGACAGACATGGACATAGACACTAGCAGCAAATACGCAAATGCTGTATAAATATACACACATATATATGTATTTTTTTATTTTTTTTTTACCTGTGGCTTCTCAGGAGTCGAACCAGTGACTTGGTGACAATACTGACTTCGTGTTTAGGAGCCAGATGCCAGTAAAGCTGAGCAACAGCCATCACTACCTAAAAATATCAACCCAATAAGATAATAAGTAGATTATCTTACAGCATCTTATTAAAACAAACTTGTTACTTTCTGTCTGCTCACACTAAAATCATCTTCCTTCACATGCATTTGCTCAGGCTCTACACCGGCACTCTCAAAGAGACTCTAAAAGTCATTTTTCAGAAGCGCTTTAAATAGCAGGAGGACGTGTGTCCGTCGTTGCAGGCACAATGAGAGGCTTCGGGCGTCTATGAAGATTGAGGATGTCACCGTGTTGTCGTGAGTAAAGACACAGCATGTCACATTTTAATCAACACTTTCATTTGGGAGCATTTTTCCTTCCCGCTGCTACATAGCGACAGAGACCTTGAGGCTCCTGGATGATGGAGACCCGCACTCACTCTGGTTTTTATCGCTTTTATTCAGGCTTGTGTGGCGCATTAAGACAGGTATTCTCGTGTCTTTGTGTGTGTGGCGTGTCCTTTGTATGTAGTACTTTGAGTGAATGTGTTATTGCACATAAATGTGTCCTTCCAGGGTTACAACAGCATTAGCTGATGTGATGCAACAGACACAAAGAGACGCTGCGTTTCCTACTATTTCCATCAACTTTGGATGTGTGTTTATTCGACTAAAAACAGTCTTATTAGTCTATGCATGTTTGCATACCATTAAAAAAGTGCCATAATAATGTGTGAATGTAGCAACTTAATGTAATGTGTAACTTGTTTATGAGGGGACTGCTTCTACAGATGGTGTTACAGTTTGTTAGCCTGACGTCTGAATCACACAGGTCTAGAGGTCTGTCTGTGACAGGCAACCTCTGGTCTCACTTCCCAAGTGATCAGGGATGATTGTTGCTGAATGTTGCCCACTGTCTCCAGATGAAAAACACTGCATGATCATTTTGGCTGCTAGAAGGCTGCTGCAATTACCTATAATTCCTACACACTGCAAACACTCGCTATATTCTCTCCAAGCTATACTGAAACTTGAAACGAAGAATGTTCTCCTTCCAAGTAAAGTAAGTAAATTATTGCTGTGGCAATATTTTAACAACTACAGCAATCACAAAGAGGTTTTTGGTGCAGTACTGTATACCTCTTTGCCACCAATTTCATGCTTCCAGCAACCTTCAGCATCCACCCATCAAATGGTTGCAGAATATACTCTTTTCCCCAATGACCAGCTGTTACCGACTGTTCTCCAGGCCTGCATGAATAAAACTTTCGCAACTCATTTCATAGAGACTTGGCATATAACTATAGACCAGTGACGCCTTGAGGCGACATTTGTTGTGATTTGGCGCTATATAAATAAAATTAAATTGAATTGAATTGAATTGACACTGTTTTAACAAAAACTAAAACAGTAAATTTACCTCCTATCTTTCTGCAGATACCGCCAGACTGCACCAGTCTGTATCTCTGCATCTCACACTGATGCTAATCAATCAGCAATACAGATTCTTATTGATGGAGCATGAGTTACCATGGCAATGTGGACCACCTTAGTAACCATGAAAACCCAGGGTTAAACCTGAACTTGTGTCTACATGTCAGCGTTTGAGTGACTCACAGCGGTGTTCCTGCTCTGCAGTAGAGGTTTGGTGTTCCTGAGCAGCAGCCTGTGATCCGGATCCATGATGTAAGGCTTTGCTTCTGTCTGGTCTTTTTTCTCCTCCGAGTCAGAGTCATAGAAGGCTTTATTCTCATCAAACTCAGCACCCTGAAACACAAGCATAGTACATCAAACTAATGCACAAAACTATTTTAATAAAAATAACCCTCTAACAAAATTAAAATGAATGATTTTTATTGGATTCTTGTGAACTAAAAATGCCCAGCCCTCAAGCTGAAGGAACACTGCCTTTTAAGTCTTGTTGGAGTGCTAAGTTGTCAGCTAAGGGTGCCAGGCTTGGTTGGTGAGATGCATCTATAAACTGTACATGTCCTCAGATATGTCCAATTAATTCATAAGTATCATATAATTAAAATGTAGACTGTCACAAAAAAAATGAAGCACAAACATGTGGACTGTACTATTTGTCAGATAACTCCATTAAACTGTGTGTTTTAATGCTCTAAATTTATGCTTTTTAACCTGGATGTTTATAGAGACTGACTCTCTTTTGGAGCTGGTGTTAAGTGGCTATTCCAGGAACTGCCATTTTTGGCACGGACCACTTTGACAGATGTGCTGACACAGGCAGCTGTGGCCAACTGTCTGCTAGGCCTCACTTCCTCTAATTTAAGTCACTGAACTGGTGATCTCGAGTGCATTTAAGCTCATGGTTCACTTTGGAGAATGTTTAAAAGGCAATAGCTATCAAGTAATGTGGTTTGGTGTGAAGTACAAGGAGAGTTATTAGTCTGTTTGATAGCACTAAATAGCCTGTGCCCGTGTGATGCACCCATGCAGTTTATAGATGCAGTGTGCTAACCAAGCTTCTTAGCATAATCCAACCCTGTTGTCTTAATATGGTAACTTCTGTCTCCAAAAAGATAACAGCAGTCAGCTGTTTCACAAATGTGCAGTCCAAAAAAAAAAAAAAAATCAGCAGGTGGCATCACACTGGCTTTGCACATCTTTTACATACAGTCTATGTAACTGATACTTTACAAATGTGAATCACTATTGCTTTTAGGTCCATGAAACCCTTACCTCTGTCCAGGGACTGGTGAACTGTGTCCTGGCATAGCGGGTCAGCATAGAGATGATGACCACCTGGCCCCACTCCTCCACATCCACCAGCAGATTACACAGTTTTCTGTAGTTCTTATGGATCAGATCGATGCGATCTGGGCACACCTCCTCAAAAGCCATGACCACACTCCCAGCCACCAGCTATAGAAAGGATCAAAATTAAAACAAAGAACAGAGAGAAGCAAACTCATGAGGAAAATGTTTTTTTCCCCCCATTTATTTCACTCCACTGTTAACATGTGAGTTAATGAGGGTTGTATAGATTAGTTAAGCAAATTGTTTTGTTAAGCAAATTGGCCAAGCTGCAATATACACAAACTCTAGAGAAATAAAACACTGGTTAACAGACGTGACCCTGGTTGCAAAGTATTATAATTGCACTTTCAAAAAGCAATGGCAATTTACAGCTTTGATTAAAATACACAGTTCATCCTGTAAGCAGTTAGTTGATAATTGAAAGTAAATTGTTTGCACTTAAAAACATAAGTTTTCTACTGCTTTGTGTTTGAGAGAAGCCCATCAGTAAGAGTGTTTTTCTCAAGCATAAGTGTTCAGTTCATGTGGAAAGCAAGCCAAGGAGGAAGCAGCAGCTGACAGATCCAATAATCAACTATGCTTTATTGGTAAAGGGAAAAAACCCATTTGACTGTTGCTCACCTCCCACTCCCACCATCACCCAACTGCCTGCTGCCTCGCTGACTGACTGCAAGGCTGAGTGAGTGACACGGCAGTGTATTAATATGCAAACAGCATTATCGCAGGCAGGTGAAGATGAAGAGAAAGGGAGCAGAATTCAGTCTTCCCAATTAAAGCCTTCTGGCCCCTGGTGGCCCTGTGGGAACCCAGAGCATTTACCCATCAGCACTGTCATGAGCCTGCATTGATTGTGTGAGTGTGAGAGATGTGCATGTGCATAGCTGCCGTCTGTAGATTCCCAGAGAAATCACACACAAACAAGTATGTTTTACTATACTGCAGTGCTGTATATATAGTTATATTTCATGATATGCACAGGAATTTTATGTATATTCAAGGAATGACATGGCGCTCCGGACAGTGATTAATGCACTAAGGCCATTAGTAACACACACAGACACATGCATAATTCTAACTTTCATTTTTCCTGTCTTGATTATTCCAACTCATTTTTCATGTGCATTTCTCAGTCCTTCTTTGCATGTCTTCAAATAACCCAGAATGCAGCAGTTAGGCTGCCAACAAAAAACAACAGATACTCCTGTCACCCCTATTACTGCTTCACACGCTTCAGTGAAATTCAGAATTTTAAAATGTTATTACTTACATCAGTGTATCCGGAGAGTATTCGCAGCACTGTGTAGAATTTTAAGGTGAAAAATGAATTTAATCCATTTTGGAAAAAAGGCTGAAACATGATCAAATGTGGAATAAGTGACGCACTTCTAATACTTTGCGGATACACTGTACAAAGTTCTATAATGCCAGGCTCCTGTATATATAGCAAAACTGTTGACAACTCTTTCCAGTAGTCAGCCTGTTCAATCATCAGGTCCACAATCTGTTTTAAATACAGAGGCAACCACACCTTTGAGGTTGTACCGCTTAAACTTTCTGCTGTCATCAGCCCTCTGGGTTAACTGAATCTGGACTTCAACAACTGCTGAAAACTAATTATTATACTTTAGCTTTTACCTAACGTTTCACCCATTACTTAATTGTAGTTCACACAAAAATCTGTTTGAAAGTATAACCCTAAACCATGTTTCACTATATCCTATCATCATCATCATCATCATCATTATTATCATCATGAGTCTAAATGGAACTTTAAGAAAAAATAATTAGTTAAAGCCACAAAAATTAAATCATCACACCTCTATCCAATCATTTCAGAATTTAAAAAGATTTAAAGCACTTGTACAACCACTGTAATATATAGAAAGACGTTCCAATGAAAACTATTCATAGAGTCTGACCGGTAGCATAAATCTTTCCAGCAACCTTCATTTAAGCATCAGTGTCAATAACATTTTACAGCAGACTAACTTAGTCAAAGCATTTAGTAAAACATGGATTTTTAAGTATGTCTGTGTGTATTTTTGTCTTCTTCTGACCCTCTCCTGTCTCTGAGGCTATTAAAAGCAACACTCCTTAGCACGTGCATCCTGCAGCAAGGCTTTGTGCATTCTCTACCAACTTCCCCCATTAGACACAGCTCCAAGGTAAACTACATGCACCATCAACAAAACTGACACCCCAATCTATGGAGTTCATACACCTCCTCCCCGTCCCCTACCTCGGCCATATTATCTACCCTGCATGACAAGCCGGTAATGGAAAAATCACACTAAGCAAATGGTTCTTCTAATAACAATAAATTTCCTATAAAATTATGAAGGGCTCAAACCGTTTCCTTGCATCTATTTTGCTATGAATTCTAATTAGGGTGCCAGGAAGGCAGAGTGCTGGGTCATCACGTCAGAGACAACGCGCGCCTTTTTGATTGATGGCCCGGTGTGGGGTCGGCCTATCCTCCCTCTGCTTACTCTCTTCTTTCTCCCTCCTTCCCTCTCTCCTTTTTCTCTTAAATTAATGGGCATCTCACCTAGCCCCTAATCATAGTACCCCCACTGCCACTCCCCCCAACTGCTCCTCCTTTCTCTTCTCATTTCAATTTTGCAGAAGGTGCATGGGGGAGAGGACGGGAGAGATCGATCATTTATCTTGTAATGGCTGGATAATAGATCCATCACGGTAAAACAGCTGCACAAACTCCTGTGTTGTCTCTGTCATCAGGCCTTCCCATTTTCTCTTTAAACCATCCTGCCTATAAGCAGCCCCCCCACCCACCACCACATGTGTCACAGCCATTTAACCAAAGAGGCACATCTGTAAAGGTAAATGTCAGCAGGCCTGGACAACGCCATAGCCTGAATGATAACCAAATGCTTCCATCTCCCACTAACGCCATTGTGATACCAGTTCAACAGCTTTAAGCCACACAGCTAACTTAGTAGTGACACAAGAAGAAAAACTGTGCAACAAATTGAAATCTGACTGAAAAGCTGCCAGAAAAACGTAAGGTTCCAATAGAGTTGTTGTTAAAAACTGAAATTTGATAGCTTTATAAATACAAAATATGTTTTTCGTTATGTAAAACCAGATCCGTAGCCCTGCTGCACATGCTGACTCGTCTACATTAAACATTAGCACACCTAAATGTCTAGGCATGAATGCATATGGATACCCTTTATAGTCAAGTCTCATCAAATTATTTATAAGCACATCTAATAACAACTGGCATTGATCAAAGTGCTATACAGCGTTAAAAAACATCCGCAAAAACTCCCATCAAAACTCGATCTGATTTACAGGCAAAGGAATTAAAATGAGTTTTAAACCAGGTCTTTAAAAACAGTCTTTGTTGGTGAATGGGGTTTACCGGGGGTTAGGAACAGCTATTCGAAAGGCTCAGTCTCCTCTATGTTTCACCCTGGACAACAAGACAAATAACCCAAG